GGATTCAAGGTCTGTAATTAAAGTATCAACATTTTTCTTGGAGAAACTGTAGTGTTGGAGTAGCTTTTGATCGGAAGAATTTTCGTTCATAGGCATGCAAAGGTTGAACATGGCTATGATTGGTTTGTGGTGGGAATTCATGTCATCAATTACCCCAGACATCGTGACGTGTTCAATGTCATCGGTGAGTATGTTATCTATACAGGAACATTGTTGAATGTTTGTGGAATGAGTTGGTAATGAGATGAGCGGAAAGAATCCCAATGAAAGAAACAAATTTTCAAATTTTTGAGTTGTGGGATTTGTTCTCTTTAGAAGGTCAAAGTTGTAGTCTCCCAAAATTATAGATTTTATGTCTTTGGGGAAGAGTGACTTCAGGTGTGTCAACTCATTGAGAAACTCTTTCGAATCCCCATTGGGTGATCTATAAACCACGCCAACATTAACTTTTTCACTCCCTTTATTGACAGTAACGAAGAGTGATTCAAGGTTTTTAGTTGTACTGATAAGCTTGTCGTTTATGGTTGCATTGAAGGAACAGTGGATATATAAACAGACACCAGTTCCTTTTGTTTTATTTGGAATTTTATCATTATAGAAGTGCGAGTAGTTGCTTAATTTGTACAGATCACCTTTGTTTTGATTAACATTTGTTTCAGCAAGAGCAATAGCTGAGTAGGTAAGTTTTTGCATGCTCATTTCTGCAGAAAAGGAGTCAAAGTTGGATAGATTTCCATCTATATTGTAGAACATTGTGCTAAAATCAGTGTTATTTGGGACCTTTTCATGGACTGATTTAAGTTTGTAACTCTTACAGTTTTCCAAAATTGTAGATGCTTGGTTAATACAATCAAAGGACTCCAGGAAGTCTTCTGAGTAGAACTTATCATCAGACTCTTTGTCAAGTCCTATGAGTTCCTTAAAGGGGTTGTAGATCATGACACTAATACTGAAGCAGTTGGTACATGAGTGTCCAGAGCCTCCTTGGCTAAATTTTGATTTTTTGAAGCATAATTTGTGTATTATTTTGGGACAATTTTGACATTCCAAGTATCCTTGACCAATAAGGATGTTTTTGTTGCAGCAGTCGCATATTTCTCGTTTGATTGATGGAGTCATTTATTCATACAGGGTTTGGTGGGCCACCTCTGAGTGCGTTAGAATATAGCCTACTGCTTGATAGTTTGGTTTTACTAGATTTAAATTGAAAGATGCAGCGTTTTAATAGAACAACAAGGATGCTGGTGCATTTTCTATTGAGATGGAGTTCATCTCCAACATCAGTCTTTGCAAGATCATAATCTAAAAGATTTGTTCGCTTGTCTAGGAACTTAATAAAACCTTCAACTAGGATAACTTTAAGATCACACTGGCATAAATCTTCAGCAATAAACCTATTAAACAAAAATATTCTACGGTTCTTATCGTGTGACTTTGTGGGAAGTACTGGACATATGAACATTTTACATTTAGGGTTGTACTTCCTTATCAGACTAAGTTTTGTTTTATATTGCTTATAAAGTTCTTTGACCTTTTGGTCGGTGACTTTGTTCTTAAGGTCATTAGTGCCCACCATTAGCACAACATTACGGTATGATGTGCATGATAGTGGGTCTATTGAGTCTATTGTAGGAGCCCAAGATCTGAGGCCAGGGGTCGATTCTCCAAGTTTACCTTTGCCGCTTCCGAATGTTATGGGCCCAAAGTTAGAATCCCCTACGAGAATAGTTGAGTTGAAGTTTGACCAATGGATGGCCCTGAATGTAAGGCTGAAGCGAATGCCGTCAGAAACAGAATCATCATCTTCTTCTTTGATGGTGTGTTTGAAGAAGTCTTGACTATGCCTAGTCATCTGGTACATGCTTCTGCTATTACATTTGACAGTCATTGTTTCGTCAGACTGTAAGTTCCTAAACTGAAGGTGACGTGGGATCCCTAGAGATATGGTGAAGATAGATGACTTAGGGTCAATGTCCCCCTCATTGTCTGCGTGTTCTGGGAGAGTTGACTCCTTATCATCATACATGTTCACTAGGCAAGAGTTTAGTCTGTAGTGGTGCCTTTCCTCTTGGTGTGAAGACCCATACTCATTGTTGAGACGCTCCATCAGTTTCTTGATGGGTTCGGGCATCTCCAAAGGGTTTGACTTTGAACCCATGTACTTGTAGTGCTCTCCATATTGAAGTACATTTCTTTGCCCCTCTAATGAGAAGTCTGCAATTTGATTCTGTAGCATATTCATGAGGTCGCTCTCTTCTTTCTCTGTGATGTAGTCTTCTAGCTGGTTTTCTACATGCTTTATATCAGGAACCAAGTTGATTGAACTGACATTTTCTACTTGAATTGGGACCCTCCTAGGGGGTTGTGGTGGTTGTGGAGGACTGTAGTCGTTCATTTGAGGAGGAGGAGGACGGTTAGGAGTGTTCTTTAAGGATGCTATGTTTTGGGTTAGCTCTGTCAGCTGATGTTGTATCGATGAAATGAAGTCAGTCGTGGGTTGGTTAATATGCTTCATTTTCTGCTCTACTATACCCTCAAGGGACTCAATTACCTCAGCCGAGATTTGGTTTGCATAGCAAGTTGTTTGCAATGCGTTTGCTAACTTAGCAGACTTATGATTCTTTGGTCTTGGGTATGGGGCAACAAAGCACCAGGGACAGCCCCAATTGGGAAGCAATGAATCAATCCCCTTCTGGGTAAGATCTGTACCATTCAAGTTTGCACATAGAGAGTGCCAAACTTGGCCACAGTCCTTACAGGTCAAAAGCCAAGACTTACCCCCGGAGGTTCTGCAGCAGGGGCATTTAGACTTGGTGACTTTGGATTTTGGCTTTGATGTGCTGGTGCTGTCATCACTAACATTTTCTTCAGACTCTGACACTGATGTCGCCAGAGGTGAAGCACGGCCACTTTTGAGGAGTGACGTCTGTAGGAGGCTCTTATTGCTGGGGGTTCTTTCAAAGGTAGAGTTCACGATTACACTTCGCTTATCACTTTCACTCTTGGATGATCTGGTTCTTTTATCTAGGTGGGGGCTCATCAAGGAGATGGGGGTCCTAGGTGAGTTTCTGTCAAGTCTTTTTCCGCTCATATTATTGAGAATATTGATCACGGGGATGTGCTGGGTGCCCTCTGGGCTGCCACCACCGGCGAATTAGCTGCACCTGAAATGAGTAGATCATGGGTGGACGTCTGATTTATAATGGAAAAAGGGAACAATGATTACTTAAAACTATTTACTAACTATTTTATTCATAAGAGATACCATAAAGAAGAGTTGATTTCGATTGAGACATGCAATAAGTTGCTTTAAGGGTGAATGGTTGGGTAGGTGAGGTGGTGGGTGCTGTTGATTAGATTTAATGGTTTGATGAAGCATATGTATTGTTTGGAATTGCTTTATGTGTTAGAGGTTGGGGTAAAGGGAATTGTGGGATTCCTGGGTAAGGAGACATTGTGGAAAGCTGGTTGAGTAAATAGCAATTGTAGTCGACGAGCTTTCCACAAGGGGATTTAGAGTAAAACAATACATAATCAAATAATGTGGTTATATGGTCATTCAATAATACAAGTTACGAAAGGTTAATGTATTGTAATTAGTTTGAATTTGGGTTTTTTAAAACTTGTATTATATAATGACAAAGATACATGCACAGTTAAATAAAGTTTACTATTAATCAGCATCAATCAACAGCACTTTACAAACAACAAATAATTTAAGGAAGAGACCAGCCAGAAGCCAGCAATCAATGTCAGGAGCTTTTAGGGAGGGGTTGTTTATGAGAGGATGTTGGTTTTATGTTTTGTGATGTGGAATTTCACAATCTACTCATCTTCAGTTGGAGCATCATCGCCGGCAGCAACATCCCTTTGGACACCTTCGCATCATCCCCCAGTGATCATTCTTTTACTCAGACATTGATTGCGGCTCGAAGGCTCGATCTACATCCTCAAATTATTTGTTATATAGTAGTGTTGAAAGTATTAAAACTTAAAATTTATTAACGATCTGACTACAGACTAGCGATCAACGTTCCCCGTAGCTCAACAGAGGGGGTAATCAGGGCACGTGTTAATGAAAAATGTAAGTGTCCTTCCACAATCCCTTCTGTTGGGTCACACGTTTATTGGGGACTGAGATCGCTAGCGTGTAACTAGAAGCAGTATATGTAAAGTAACATAGGTGATCATGATAGGTGATAGGCAATATGAAATTACAAATCTAATTTTATCCCATGGACTTATCAATTAAGGGCTGGTGGTGGTGTCATCGTTTGTCGTACTCAAAACGTTTCGCGGTTGTGAATGCCGGCCCATCGAGGAAAATCTTTTTACTTTGTTTTTTAACCATTATAAAGTATGATTAGTCGGATATAATATTGAGTTCAAACAGTTCCCGAAACGAAAAAGCAAACATTTGATTTTTTTTTACAAGGCAACTTTTAATGATTATTAATGAAATTATCGGATATTTATAATTCAAATTGTATTTTACTTTTGTAATGTCACAATCCAGTCTCGAAACATATATAATTTGCGGCTGTAGTTGGTTGGTTTAAAACCATCATTTTAAGCCGATTTTTCAACAAATTACTGCCAACTTTAATACCTTTTCTCGATGGGCATTAAATTTGGAAATTACTTATATTTTTGTTGGTTTTTGGTTGACCTGGAACCTATTACGTTTAAGTTGTGCACTTTTACTATATGTTTAACATGTTTACTGTGTTAAATTTGATCAAAGTTTAGCTTATATTCGTAAACTCTCACAATAGTCAAATGTTCACTATACAATTATGCTTAATGTAGAGTTAACATTTCAGACAAGTGTTTGCCACACTCAAGAGAGTCTTAACTTTAAAACTTTTTTTGGTGCTTGATATAACAAGTTTATCTCTTACAGTAACAATGTTTATGTGATAAGGAGTGCGAATCATGACATCTTCTGAGGGAAGTGTTCAGCGGGTCACCCTCGCCCCCAAACCCCCTACACAACCTATTCGCAAATCCATTCCTCCAGAGAGGTAATTATCTTTATTTCCTATTCCTCCAGAGAGGTAATTATATTTATTTCCTATTTCGAAGTAAAATTGTCCCGTGCCATATAATTCTCTCTGAAATTGACTGTTCAAATTTTATCTATAATGTACTACTGGCATGAAGAGATACTTAAATTTTGTTTTATCATATTTTAAAGTTCTTGATTATTACTAAATGTGTTCCTATGTAGAAATAAGTAATGGTCTGTGTGTTCTTGTTTTTGATTTGATATGATAATCTTACTTTTTTGTTTTCAGTTTGGCATATGTACGAAGTATTGTCAGTACTATAGTCAAAGTTGAGGGTGAAAGTATCAACCAGTCCGTTCTCACTCCAATCTACACTCTGGTAAGTTAGAAAATGGTATATTAGGTAACTAGTCAGACAATTGTTGTTGCTTCTTCTCCTGTAAGATAATGTAGTCAAACTTTACATGATTGATTGGTATTAACTATTAATACCTATTTTTACTCTTCATCAAGCAATGAGACTATTCAGACAGTCACTTGTCAGTATGTCACACGTTACTGTTTGTTGTTGTTAACAAAGGGTTATTGAATTTCGGTGACATTCAAAGTTTGTGAAATTGCATACGTTACGATAAAATTGCATGCGTCAAGATATTCTTTAATATGGACATGATCGAGCTGTCTTGCTAAAATACTAGTAACTGTAGAGTGCAGTTTCTTATCTTGAAACCCCACTGTATTTACTTTTAAAAACATGTAAATGTTGATATTATTGGAATACGACCCCACATGAAAGCTACCAACATTGTATACTGTATGTTGAGGCACTGCGTGTAACATACAACAGGTGCTTGCAGTTTACCCCCAGCAACGTATTCCATTTTCCTTTTGAAGTTGTGTGTATGTACAGTGTGTACAATTAAGATTATGGTGCTGTAAAGTGAAAAATAATGTTTTTTTTTCAAGGTCACAGATTTACGTGGAAACAACTTAATTAATTACATGAAATAATTTAATTTAATGCTGTAGCTGAGTTTAATATTTACAGACTATATCGTAACCAGATAAGTGTATACATAGATCATCGTTTTCGAATTCATCGTTCGTAACTTAAAGTAAAAATTATCTTCAAACGTGATTTTCCTCTTCAGAAATATTGCAAAGTAATACGTTAAATCCTAACTTCCAACTGAATGTAGATCTCTAAATATGTATTGTTGTGGTGAAGTTTCAAAGGTTGGAATGTGCGCACCAGAACTCAGCTTTTAAACTCGAAACAATAGCGACCCTACCAGGTCTGACCTAGATATTTCAAATGTAAGGATGGAATGTCAAATATCTTTTCGCTCTCCACATTGTCTGTCCAGTCTCCACATTGTATTCTAGCAGCTGGTGCGGAACAATACCTCATGGAATTCTACACACACACATACACACATACATACACAGGTGGTATACATTACACGTGTAAACTAGTTAGTTACATTGGTGTTAGTAATGAGGAACACTGTTGTAATGATGTGGCTGTTTGATCCTGATTATCTTCTAATTAGAAGGCATACTAACCAGCAGTCAGATTAATTTGGCTACCTTAACCAGTAACCAGTCCTAATGTCAAGACTCTCAGAGTTATTACTCTCTCTCTCTCTCTCTCTCTCTCTCTCTCTCTCTCTCTCTCTCTCTCTCTCTCTCTCTCTCTCTCTCTCTCTCTCTCTCTCTCTCTCTCTCTCTCTCTCTCTCTCTCTCCCTCAAATTATTTGTTATATAGTAGTGTTGAAAGTATTAAATACTAAATAAAATATTTTAATACTTTCAACACTACTATATAACAAATAATTTGAGGTGACACTCCTGTGGATGGCCCTCAAAGGCCGAAACTAGTTGAGTCTTCAGCAGATCACCCTGGAATACGTCGTATCATTTGTTTGATGACACTTAACTATCTTGTGATCCTTTACTGTTTTATTCCGGGGCAATTGTGGCTACAAAACTCGATATTGGCTTGTTTTTTCCACCTCAACGTCAGCGAAAGCTCTAACAAATTGTTTTTTTATTAATCTACAAGGATGTGAATTGTGAGCTGTGAATCTAATTTTGGTTAAGTATCAAACCAGTCCTTCTCGCTGGCTAAAGTTGGTCACGTTATCTATTAGGTTGAGTATCGAAATGTATGCTCATTGCTCAAATCATAATGGGATAATGTAACACAAACATAATATATATCATAGAACATAATATAATACATAATACATACATATCATTACAATATTGAATATCTTCATTGCACCGACCCTGTAAACTACATAATCTCAGACAATAATTATACCATATACATAGGTACCCTAATATTACAGCGGGCACTACACTGGGTCGAGACTATGGTTCTTTTTATACGTATGAACTGGTTTACACTCGGCATGTAGATAGTGGGTGGGGTTATAAAAGGTTTTATCGGACAAAAAGATCATGGTTACGTCAAATATATACCGCAATATCGTGAAGGTTAAATTGCTGTTGTGCCCGCAATTCAGTTTCATATACATTATACAAGGTGTTTAAGTATGAACACGTAAGGTTATATACTGTACTTATGGAAATGCAGTTTTAGCTGCTTTATAAGGAATAAAGTGGGGTAACAGAGAGTGGTACATATTATTACTACACTTTACAATTTACAGGTACAAGGTACATATTACTACTACACTTTACAGGTACAAGGTACATATTACTACTACACTTTACAGGTACAAGGTACATATTACTACTACACTTTACAGGTACAAGGTACATATTACTACTACACTTTACACTTTACAGGTACAAGGTACATATTACTACTACACTTTACAGGTGCAAGGTACATATTACTACTACACTTTACAGGGACAAGGTACATATTACTACTACACTTTACAGGGACAAGGTACATATTACTACTACACTTTACAGGGACAAGGTACATATTACTACTACACTTTACAGGTACAAGGTACATATTACTACTACACTTTACAGGTACAAGGTACATATTACTACTACACTTTACAGGTACAAGGTACACATTTCGTGTAAGACCAGGTGTTCTTATTTGTAGTTTGTACCCCTTATACCACAGTCCACATTACAAACACCCGGTAGTACCACTACCGGAGTTAAACTAACACTTGCATATTCTCAGACAGTAATGAGTAATTATTGTTCGAGATTACGGAACTGTATCATAATACATGGTGTAACAGGTGGTGTCCTTATTCAACTATATTGATATATATAAGACATGGGTGGTCATAATTGTGAGTGTACACTGTACATGAAACTTGGGTTCAGGAATGTAGATCGTAGAGAATGGTTGTTATGTGGCTGAGGAATGTAGCGAGTTGTTGTTTTCTCCATTTTCTGGGACAATGTTGTACTTACTGAAATGTTGTACTTGCTGAAATGTTGTACTTACTGAAATGTTGTACTTAACGAAAAGGAGGTCAGTAGGTGTTATCATGGTTCAACTAATTGATGGGTCAGTGGGTTTGTAAAGGCTTTTTAGGTATAATTGAAAGCTTATGCAACATCTTGAAACAGTTTGTGGTTATTTCTATCAAAAATACAGATTCTGTTAGCTACCGTCTGTGTCGTTGAATGAAATACTCGCGGGACAGACAAGGAATCTTTAATTTTTCTTCTAGAATGATCCACTAGGATCTCGAATTATTCAAGAAATCTCTCAACAGCAAATATTGATTAAATTGTGACTCACATTCTCAATTTTCCTCACACATTCTTACGGTTTACCAACTCATAATAACCTCACTATTGACCATCTAGTATATCACGTGACCTCATTAGATATGATGCGGCACTTAAACAACAATTGAGATCGGACAACAAAAGGACAGGGTCTAAAAGTGACGATTAAGAATTTAGATTTAACCACATTCTGATCAAGAGTTCAGACAATACAACAAATATTTGAGTGTATACGCACCACATGGTTACACAATATATGGTACACACAGTACACACACCCTTTACAATAATCCAGCCCGCTTGGAAAACAATTTCCTCGTTTGTACATTCCTTCGAACCCCCCAGTTTTAATACAGTGAAAATATCTGATAATTTGAGTATGAGTATAACTTTGTAACACGTGATTTCTATTATTCAGCAACATCTATTTCTTTTTACTCGAGTACGATCAGAAAAACATCATTTTGAAGAGAAGATCTGTGAGCGATTCTGAGCCACCCCACAATAAGTCACACGTTATTAGACACATGACAGGTAGTCACGTGACACATGACAAGTAGTCACGTGACACATGACAAGTAGTCACGTGACACATGACAAGTAGTCACGTGACACATGACAAGTAGTCACGTGACACATGACAAGTAGTCACGTGACACATGACAAGTAGTTACGTGACACATGACAAGTAGTCACGTGACACATGACAGGTAGTCACGTGACACATGACAAGTAGTCACGTGACACATGACCAGTAGTCACGTGACACATGACAAGTAGTCACGTGACACATGACAAGTAGTCACGTGACACATGACAAGTAGTCACGTGTCACATGACAAGTAGTCACGTGTCACATGACAAGTAGTCACGTGACACATGACAAGTAGTCACGTGACACATGACAAGTAGTCACGTGACACATGACAAATAGCTCGCATCCTGGATCTATGTTTGAACACAATAGACACACAAATGCCGGGGATTTAAGTACAGTTTAAAATCCGTTTAAAAATAAAACATCCTCATACATCCTACTTTCTCCCACGTTACATAATTACACATGTATAAACCAGAAACCTGTTGGCAAGTAGTTACAATCATATAATTAAATTATTTTGACACAGGTTCCGCGGGAAACTTCCTCTTGGTTGATTACTTATTATATAATTCCGTATTCCTCGAATACCCACCCTTATTTAAGCAGAGAATATAGCTGCTGTTTGGTTACACAATGACAGGTAAAATGCCAAATGTTTGCTGAGACACTTCCTTCATCCAACTCCCCTGGGAATAACGGGGTATAATATTTACAGCGAGTAAACTCTCGGGCATATGTCACATGTGTTATTCGTCATATTTTGGTATGATATTTTAGTGAGGTGTCCGTATATGGAATAAGTAAATAATCAATTCGTGGGATCCAGGTGTTTCCTGTTATCTTTTATTGCGTACATATTATGAAATTTGGATATTCCCAAAGTTCGTAAGTTATCGAAACGTAACAGAGTTGCATATTTAAAATTTATACACCTTTAATGCATACAGCATCGTATAATCCTTGGAAATGTTGCATTCGAAAAATACAAGAAAGTTTGGATGCAAGGATCTAAGATTAATCTGAAGACCAAGATTAAGATATACGAAGCATACGTTACATCTGTTATGCTCTATAACTGCAATAGCTGGGCTACCCCTCAGAACCTATTTGACAAACTTGATGCATGTCATAGAAGACACCTGCGTCAAATATTGAAGATGACTTATCCCATTATTATCAGTAATAAAGCATTCTATGAACGCTGTGGTGTAACACCGTTGTCAGAGCGAGTGACATATGCTCGCTGGAAAATGCTTGGACATGTCCTTCGCAGTGACTGCTCATCACCAGCTCAGAGAGCTCTTCAATTTGCTGTTAATGCGTTATTTACCATGAAAGGACGTGTTGGTCGACACCAAAGTAATCTTTTAAAGTTTATTATAAATGATTTGAATAAAAGAAACCTACCATTACGTGATATTAATGATCTTTATGATCTTAGGGCTACTGCCTCTAACAGAGTTTTGTGGAGAAAATTATTTACCTCATAATTAACCTTTATTTTTCAGAGAACTGTTATGTTTTTTTGGGCACTTATCAGTCTCTTAAGATGTTTCTTTACTATTTCGAGATTGTTTTAAAAGTTAGATAATAATTTAATGCATTAAAAATTACATAATTACAGCCAGTACAGCAGCTATTGAAGCTTTCTGTGGAATGAAAATAAACGCTAGTTACTACCTAGCTAAGCGATCAAAACCAATCGTTTTACTCAAAACTAAATTTTGGAGAAAGTGTGCTTGCCATTTTAACGACTTTACGTAACGCGCGGAACTAAAATAGCATGGAAACAACAATGCGCAATTGTCTACCGTGGCAAATTATGACGTTCATCACGTGTCCACTTTCAATTTTGACCTTGTCGCCGCTAATTTACAAACTTTCGATTATACACGACCACATGTACACGGAATTTAAATACCAGCCTGCTCTACATAAGATTAGAGCAACCTAGTACAACTAGAACTGACGTTATGTGAAGCAATCTTTATACCCTTACTCTTTACGTCAGAACTCCCAATTTCACCATCCAGCGACCCACTCAGATTCTAACCAAGTTATTTTCAGTTGATGGGATCTGAAAGTTCAGACTACATCAGAGATCCCGCTGCTATCTGGATATTGCTGGAGTTACTGCCCTACCTCAACCATGCGTTACAGGTTAATTTGTCTTCTTGGATATTATTAATTTAGTCAATATCATATTTGATTATTGGGGACGAAATGATAGTCTCCATTAGTGTTTCGGCTACACGCTTTTGTCAATCAATACCAAGTTAATGTGGTATGTTATTGTATGTGATTTAAGGAGGTTTGTCTAATTTCTGTAAAATTATTTGCAGATGGAGATTTGGCAACGCTTGATATCTATCGTGGGTAGATCCCTCAGAAATCTACAAATGTGCTGTACGCTAGCTTTAGTACCGCACTGTCTTGATCTTATTTCCGGTGAGTGGGCATCAGAAGCCCACCCCACAACATTACTAATTGTTGTGTATATATACACAACAATTAGTAATATTGTATATAATACTTTAAATGCTAATGAAACTCCGGAATTTCAAAAATGAAAGAAATGAAAAATTCAAACTTTCCAGTAATTTAACAAGTTGTTAGAAATGAATTTTTGGGGAGCACTTCCCAGGGAAGTGATGGGCATTGATGCCTTGAAATATTGTAATCAATTTAAAAGGTACATGCACATAAATACAAATAACATCATCATCATGAACTGTTCAGAGTTAAAACTTATCGAATATTAGTAATTTACCATTCATCTTAACAGCCCTCAAATCCCCCCCTCAAATCCCCAGAATGCGAGTCAGATAACCAGGACGCAGTTGCGAGTAGAATAGCTGAATTTGTGGGAACGATAACGTCATACGATCTGTCTGTTGACGAGCTGAGGCTACTGCTGGACACTTTGACTGCTGTTGATAATAAATGGGTAAGCAAAAATATAGTCACACTTTGTTTAGGTGTCTGGTACCATTTTCAGAAAAGTGAGTGTCACTTAATTTCACTATACAGAAGCTATGGTCCCTCATTTCACCCTCTGGTTCTCCTAATATATATTTGGGTAGTAGAATGAAGAGCTCGGAGAAGGACTTCGAAGTGAGGAAAGCTAAGGCATGGGGAGCGTGTCACAAGATGAAGCTTGTATGGAAGTCGGATATGCGTAGAGATCTCAAGATACGACTTTTCTTGGCTACAGTTGAGTCCATCCTTCTATATGGCTCTGAAACATGGACTGTCAGCCAGACCCTCGCAAAACGTATTGATGGGTGTTATACGAGAATGCTGATGGATGTTATACGAGAATCCTTCGGAAGGACACGGGCTGCTAAGCACCATACACGCGAAACTCAATTATATTTCCTGATATACTGCCATTTTACCTTATCTAGCTCTAGCCTCGTGTTAACAATGGGCAATTTGTCGCCGGCGGGCCGGGGAACATCGCCATGCACCCTGCGGTAACATCGCCGGATAAGTAGAAATGTAGTCGAATTTCGCCAATACACGTCGGGACGTTGCCAGCACGCGCGCGAATTTCGCCCAAACTTCGCCGAACAGATGGGGATCAGAAGAGTAACTTCGCCACACACAAATTGAAAACTATATAATATCATTGTGTGCATCATGGCTAACTAAATTTGCCCCTTAATGAACAGGACATATGCTTATGATGTCCACAGAATATTAAAGGAATATAATTGTAAAATATGGGAAATAGCATGCAGGAAAGTTTAGCAACTTTAAGCAATATTTCATTTGCATGAGTTTAATTAACATAGTAAAACGTTATTTTTGAATAGGAATACCTTTATAACCAATTGTTCAACACAATACTATACAAAAACTCGATCTCCTAACAATTCAAAACCAGTAAAATGATTATTTGAAAAAGAGTGGCGAAGTTTTTCCCCGACACGGCGATTTTACCCCAATCTACGGTAAGCCGGGTGAAACACAAACCCTACTAAGGTAGGGGAATGGACTCGAGCCACCATTTTTGGCAAGACTAATCATATGCTTGAGCTTTTAATAGTTCAATTGCGAAAAGGCAAAATTTGCCTAACTATAAAGGTCGAACAGATAATATTTTGTAATAAATTACACCAATGAAACCAACTGAATTCTTAAGTCTATTGTCTGAAAATCTAAGCAAGACTATTATCGCACGAGAATTGAGCATAAAAGTCAACTTCTACTCCAAAACAAATATATAAGCGATTTAGGGCCTGAAAAGGAAACTTGCATGCATGCCCGCGCTAAAACTACATTCTAGACATGTAAAATTGCGGGAAACGATTGGCGTGTCGACCTGTTGATATTTTTAATCTGATTAACGATCCTTTACCATTATGTTGCGAACGTTAAAATCTTTTAGCGAACGCGTTTCAACAAACTATTTTTAGTGGGTCGTACCTAATTAATGACGTCTAAACTAGGTAATTTGCGCATGAACCTATAAATATAGGGACTGATGTAATCAAGGCAGTTTAGTGGCACAGAAATCGAAAGAATTAGTGATTTTCATAATCAGTAGTCAATGCAAGACAGGGTTATGAAAATTACAAAGAATAAAATGGCGTCCTGGACTTGGGGACAGCCTCATACACAGTTCATTAATGCAATCTGAAAAACCATTCTGCTAGCTAAAAGTAAAAAATGATTTTGTAGGTATAACCTGAAAATAAAATTAAAGATTAAAATTGAAAACGAACTGAACTAAACTAAAAAAAGAATGACACGTCCTGCTAAAATACTTTTTCCGAAGTTAAAATTAAACCCAACTTTTCCCCAATTGTTAAAATACTCTTGTTTTTTTTTTTTCCCCCGAACCCAAAAAAAAAAAAAGGATTTCAAACCGTTTGCGCAAGGTGCAGCAATATTAAAAACTTTGTGGTGAGGCAATTTTACGTACAAATTTTACAATCCAAAATAAAACTGTTTATAAGAACTGACTAATACACTAACGAACTAACTGACAAAAAATTTACCATAATAACTGCTTTCTTTGGGATATTCCCATCAATAGGGATAATTAATGACATCAAAATTTAATTCGAACTCTGTCTAAATTATTTTAAAAAATTTTCCCTTAATTAAATATTGATAGTGATAGAAAGCACTAATATCAAAAAGTCAGTTTCACGAACTGAAAGTATTATTTTATTCTTATTCATCTCTAGGGAGGATATATTTCACTTAAAACCCGTTTAATTGACCAAAATCATATAAAGAAACCATACCATGAAGATTTTACTTTTCCGAGCCACCGTGAGCCTATATTGTTTCTAAATCATGGCTGAACCCATTGGATATCGTTATTCTGTTTGATAACTTATAAGCGACATGGTTGTTCAGTAACCCTCAACCCAGTTGAATCCCATCCCCAAGCCAACAGTGATGATTAGTCGAAGCATAATGAAACTAGAGCCAATTACTTAGCGAGACACAATGATGAACTGGCAGATCAAGCACTTTTTGGGAATCCCCAGCATAAAATTAACAACACCTGTTTCCAAACATTAAAGTTAAAGATTATAAACTTACCGTTGCCTAATTCGAGAACATGGAAACCACACGTGCAATATGATTTTGAACGGCGCGAATTAACCCAAATTAACTGAAAACTGAAATCTGAAAGAGAATCTTATTCAGTACGGGCTATCGCGTCGCGCGGGAATAATTTTTGGGTCACGTTCATCAGTTTGTGTTTCCCTTTTTAATTACATTACCATGCAGAGAGTGGTTTCAGAAAGGGCGCAAATTCAACTTGCAAAGATAAGTTTAAACCTGGGTACGGTACCTCCTCAGGCTGTTGCTATATATAAGGTAAACCATTGAATTAACATTGAACATATTAGGCGATTTAAAAATAGTCTATACAGATAGGGCGAATACAGGTTTATGCAACGCCCAGGAATTATAAGCAGCAAATTTCTGGCTACTGCTACGTGCATCACGGAGAATCAAAGCAAATATTATAGTGGTACCGTGGCATGTCCTTCTTGGTCACGTTGTATAGTTCATGGATTAAGTCCCTGCTTGCCTGTTGGCGTTGCTGCGTGTGATCTAGCTGGGAACAATTTCGAGAACTCTTGGCGTCGTTCCTCTCTTCACTTCTTCTTCCGCACAAAAACTGTTTTAATCCGTGAGAGGCCCCTGTGTAAATACGTTTCCTTATGTTTCCAAACGTTAAAATCTTTAGCGAACGCGTATCACAAACTATTTTAGGGAACGTTCCCGTACGAATTCACTACAGTTACAACTAAGCTTATAAAGGCAAAAATCAACGATAAGGCTTTATCTTAAAGAGTGAAACGCGGAAACTGAAACAGATCCTATTGCACGGGAGAACTCAACGACAACGTTTTTCTATTATGAATACGTTCAGTAGGTTGAAATTTATTGTTCTGAATTTTTACCTGTCAGATACGTATAATAACAAAGTAATCTCTCCGTAGGCTTCGGTAGGAGAAATAAAACAAGCTGATAAGAGACATAAAAATACTAAACGTAATGCCAATTATGTGGCGTGAGTATATTAATTTAATTTTTGTGGCCGACTTTAGCTTCAATGATATCACCGCGCACCGTTAACATACCATAGTCTGACACACCCTCTAAAATCCGAAAAAGTGTCATTCTGTCGTATATATTTGGTAGAATTCGTCCAGCAAACTATGAAAATTTTTGCTGCGCTCCGGTCTATCACAGCCGTTTCTCCTAATACCGTAGAGAAATTTTTTTTATTAACAACATAAAACTCGATTGTCTAGACTCCGTACCTATACGAACTAAATAAAAGATGCTCATAATGAAACTGATCATCTTATCATAAGTAAAAATAAATGCTGTTACGTGAGCTTTTGCTGGTCCCATGAATAGAATTTCAAAGGATATGAAATAATATAAATATTAATATACTTGTACATTTACGAGTCCTTCTGAATCTATTATAATACCATAATACACGACTTTCTCATTTCATAATTCTATCAAACACATTTAAATACTCCTGCAGCGAGAACAAAATATTGAGTGTCGAAACTAACACAAGCATCATATTGCCTGTTGTAAAAAAACGGCCGAACCGTTTACTACAATTAAGTCATGTCAAACAAATCAAACATATTTTAAAAACGTATACGCTATCTGCAACATTTGACATCAAGCACAACGTGCACAGTCCGGTTTAGTCAATAATGTTACCTTGAACCTCAGGCTATCATGTTCATTAATGATAGAGAGTCGGACGGCGGAAGACAGGCGAGCGCTGCCCAATAATCAACAATGCAGCTCTAAAACGCTGCGGACTTGCTATTATAAAATTTGGATGAGCCGCTCGATTGAAATCCCGACGCGATAAAAAACTGCCACCTACTGGCTACTAACTGCCACTAACTGCACTAACGGCCACTACTGCTACTGTCCCGCGCGCAAATTGCGTGGGCGCGATTGTACAGTTAGTGCAGTTAGTGGCAGTTATGGCAGTTTTGTAGCTGTTTATGGCAGTTTGTGGCAGTAGTGGCAGTTTTGTGGCAGTTAGTGGCATTTGGGGCTGTTAGTGGCATTTGTGCAGTTAGTGACAGTTCTTTGCACTAGCTCCGCTCCTGTGAGAGGAACCCCTGCAAGCTTTAAAGGCTTGTGTTACTTTAACATCACTTTGAATTTCACGAAAGCAGATAAAAAGGTAGGTTTTCTTGAATCAAAGTAAAGCTAATATCATTAGAACAGTATAATGGTTTACTTTAATACTTCGCTTTGGTAAACAGTATTATATAGATTTAACTAACGACTTTCTCGCTTTAGGTATTTTATATAAAACACTTTTATCATTGTTTGATTGGACTGTCCAATCATGGCACTAGTTTTATTACAAAAGATATCAAAATCGTGCGGTAAAAATATTATACAAGCACCCATAAATGACAAAAGTCCATTAATTTTCAACATTCCCTCATTGCTTTTGTGTTTTCCTGCATGCTCTTACACTGGCAGCTCTTACTACATGGGGGGCAGGTCGCCCCGTGGTGGTTTCATGGAGGCGTACACAAAAAAAACTGACTGAACATAACATAAAATCTAATATGATAAGTGCTTATTACCTCTCTGCTTTAAAAATTCAAACCTTTTATAGAATCACTATAAATTACAATGTTTTGCAGTTTAGTGACTGCAAAAGAAACTCCGGAATACTGTGGATTGGAGAGAGAAAGTGATAATTCGTTATGAGCCTGTTTCTAGGATCACGATAAACTTCCTAATAAGTTTTTTTTTCAGATACGATAAACTTCTTAATAAGGTATGATCTTAGCTATGGTCAACGATTAACTTCCTATACAGTTATTTTATTGATTAACCTCCTTCCTCTTCGAGATCTGAGGCTAAAGTTACGGGTGCAAAGACCGGTAGCTTGAGACTACCCGTTGTTACCTAAAATCCCTAACTCACTCTTTCCACATACGCGGCTAACCTTTCCCGAATCAATATTTCAGGTAGTGGAGAACTTAGAGTTAGATTATTTATTCCGCTTTTTGAATTGCCCCCCGTCTTCATCATGCTAGATTCCCGTTCATTTTTTAGAAGCTCATTAATCAGTCGGTCGGCCTTACTAAAGAACCTCTCACCCTAATAAAACCACGTTAAACTTGAAAGTCCCTGATCGACTACTAGCCTTTCAGCGCTACAGCACTAACCACTGCATTACAGAGGAGCCAAAATTTGTGGAGGCATCTCCTAGAAACGTACATATTAAAAAATATCATGCACAGTGCCATTCTTTTGTTTGTTCACACTATTTCCTACTCCTAGACTCCGTGATCGGACTTTTGATTTCTGTACCATTATCGTTAACTTAAGTTAGATTAATTTATTCCGCTTAGATTTTCCCCACTCTCCATGCTAGATTCCCGTTCATTTTTGGAGCCTTCATTTAAGCATCGGCCCTTACTAAAGAAACCTCTCACCCTCGTAAGAACACGTAACTTTTAATTCTGATCAACTACATAGCCTTCGCTACAGCACAACCCGTGCATTACAGAGAGCACAGTTTGCGGAGGCATCCGAGAACGTACATATTAATATATCATGCACGGGTCCATTCTGTTGTTAGGTTTCACATCTATTTCCACTCCTATAACTCCGCGTTTCGGATTTTGATTTCTGTACCAGTTTATCATTAACTTAGAGTTTAAGTATTTATCCGCTTTTTGATTTCCCCATCGCTCCATCTATTATTGCTAGATTCCCGTTCAATTTTAGGAGCCTCATTTAATCAGTCGGCCCTTAAGAAAGAACCCTCACTCTAATAAAACACGTAACTTGAAGCTGATCGACTACATAGCTTTCGCTACAGCACTAACACGTGCATAACAGAGGAGCAAAAGTTGCCGGAGCATCCTAGACGGTACATATTTAACATATCATGCACGGGTGGCCATTCTGTTTGTTTTGGTTCACAGCTATTTCCTACTCCTAGACTCCGTGTTCGAAGTTTGATTTCTGACCGTTTTCGTTAACTAGAGTTAATATTTTATTCGCATTTTGGATTTTTCCCCCACTCTCATGCTATTATTGCAATTCCTGTTCAATTTTTCAGACCTCATGTAATCGAGTCGCCTTACAAAGAACCTCTCCCCTAATAAAACACTTAACTTGAAGTCCCTGATCGACTACAATAGCTTTCGCTACAGCACTAACACTGCATTTACAGAGGAGCAAAAGTTTGCGGAGCCATCCGAAACGGTTACATATTTTAACAGATCATCACGGGGTGCCCTCCTGTTTGTTTGGTTCACTGCTATTATCTACTCCTAGACTTTTTGATTTCTTACCAGTTTATCGTTTAACTTAGAGTTAGTTTATTATTTCCGCGGTTTTGATTTTCCCCCACTCCTCCATGCTATTATTGCTAGATTCCTGGTCATTTCAGAGCCTCAATTTATTAAAAAAAAAAATCCTCCAGTCGGCCTTACAAAAGAAACCTCTCACCCTAATCAGAACAACTTAACATTAAAGTCCTGATCGACTACAAGCTTTCGCTACAGCACCTAAAACGTGCAATTACAGAGGAGCAAAATTTGTGAGGCACCTAGAAGAACGGTACAATATTTTAATATAACCCATGCACGGGTGCCGATCTGTTTGTTTGGTTTTCCACGAGCTAATTCCTACTCATAGACTCCGAGTACGGACTTTTGATCTTCCTGTACAGTTTAATCGTTAACTTAGAGTTAAGATTATTATTCCGCGTTTGATTTTCCCCACACTCCATTCTATTATTGCTAGATTCCTGTTCATTTCAGGCCTCATTTAATCATCCGCCTTACTTAAAGAACCTCTCACCCACTTAAGAACACGTTAACTTTAAGTCTGATCACTACATAGCTTTGGCATACCGTATCGTATCAACGTATTTATCATCTCTCCTTCTTCCAGAGACTGGCTTTTATTTTCAACATATTACCGATCGTATCACGTTTTTTTATGTCTCTCCTTCTCAGAGACAGGCTATTCTTTCAGCATGGATACCCAGAACTTGATGGTATCAGGGTTCTTGAAGTTCTGAGTAATGAAATTTAGTTTTTCCCCCTTCATATTCATTCTAAGTCCCTCTGTGGCAACAACCCTTTCTATCTCTTGCACAGCGTCTCTGTCTCCTTTTCAGTAATATGCTATCAGAGCAATAGTCATCCACAAACCATGACCGAGATTACTGCCCACGTGACTCTCTACTCCTATAAGGCTTTTAATGGTAACACCTGATTTCAGGGTGCTTGCTTAAGGCTGTTCTCATACAAGATCTAGGGCTATTATAAGAACATGTAACGGTATGGTGCTACCACTGCAAGATCTTAAGGAGAGAGTGGCGTGACCACACCCTCTGTAATCAATAAAATTTTCGAACCTTTCAGAAATACTAAGTTTACTCAGATTTAAAGGTCGCTAGACTGATGGCAATATTCAGTTAACAACTCGACCTCGATTCGATGCAGTGCACTGTGGGAAAGGTTTGAAGTTGACTTCAAGCATTCCACCCTGCCGAACAAAGAAATCTTTCAGGCCAAGAGGCTAGAGGTGACTTGAAACTCAATCACTATATCCCCGTGAAACTTGTTTTGTCGGAGCACTGTTAAGTGAGTTATTTTATACCTTCTAAATTTCCCAATGAAGCACGAAAATTAACCCAGGTTCATGGAATGGCACGAAAATGAACAAAAATTAATAAATGTGCTCAGAACGGTTTAAAACTGGCCGGAAAGCGTTAGATGGGCCCTAGGACCACTCAAACCAAGTTTGGAATCACTGCATGTCCTACAACCGATGTAACCAAGGTTCCAAAATGTTTCCAATTTTTGTCCAATTAACTCGTTCACCAGCCTACCTCCGTTCACCAGCCCCCCCCCATGCGCTGTGACCGTCATGGTCACGGCGCAGATGCGCGCATTTTAAACGCGGGAACACAAATTTTTAATTGCCATTGTACATTAAGTACATAGTGGACAGTGGAGTGTGTGGTTGATAACTTGATAGTGGACTGAGGTTTAGTTGAAACATTCCCGTGCCTTCAACTGTTCTTTACTGTGCAGGCACTGACTATTTGATTGCTTAAACGAATAGGCGAGCCTTTCAAAAACATTAGTTTTTCAATGTTTTCATAGTTTATGATGCAAATATTAATTTTTCCATTTTACATAACTGATAAGACCCCCATATATCTTTTCAGTTGTGGAGGTCGACCGAAACTGTAATCCAGACACTTAAACAATGACGGGACCAATTACTCTACTCCCTTCAATATTTAATAAAGATCGCTGATTGCTTTACTAATGTATACATTAACATAATGTTAAAATGAAAGAGAAACTATCGAGACGAAAAGAGAAAAAGAGCACTCTTTATTTATATTTTTATGTCTTATCAATGATATTCGAAAGCCCTAATTAAAAAAACGGGCTCTGAATCCTTTGCGAAGTGAGTTAGGGAAGTTGTAAGGGCTTAATATGCCTGTAGACATCATTTTCAGAGGTTTTTATGAAGTTTATGATTAGAGTATATTTTGGACTGAAGATAAGCGCAAGACTTCGAAGTGTCTATTCCTACTGTTTTTTTTTAATTTAGCAAATTACAAACAAATTTTAAACGTCGTAAAGATAAAATTTTTAGTAATCGGATAGAGACTTGAAAAATAAGTATTACAATACCCAAGCTAAAATATTCAATGTTAAACTCACAGATTGTTGCGGCCCGGTGGTTCGGCTGTCGGCGGACGCTAGAATTCCATCCACTTGCACCAACCTCTTCAAATTTCAGTATAAATACATTGGCCTCAATTAATTTTTCCTTTCTGTGGCACGAGGATAGATAAATGTTGTTCAGACACGGTTGCGCGCGTTTTGAGGTAATTTAATTAATTTTACTGATATGCCCGCGACTGTACTCTGAAATTCGCGGAGAGTTAATTGAATGTTCCTCCGCAAACGTTAAAGATTTGAAGTTTGCCCATAACAACGCGCAACTCTGTGGCGAGAGAAAAATGATACACGTTATAATGTAGGTCCGGTGATATGGAAATGGATAGTAAGGAAGAGAACATATTATTATCATGTGTGCATAAAACTGGTCCCCTCTTTCCACTTCTAATTAGTGGTTATACAAATAAAATGATTTGTTTTCAGTCAGACTTCAATGAAACCAAATATAGGGAATTCAAGTCTCAATGTCCAGTATTTTAAGTAGTTCAGTAAGATGAAGGGTGTTGCATGGTGCCCATTGTCTTGCTAGTTAGTGTAAAGTATAGATTTGGAGATCTGTGAATTAGGAAGTAATATCACTCAACAGCTGCCGAATGGTGTGCGTATGTTTTGACAAATTTGTGTTCACAGCTGCTCTGAATCAGTTAATTAATTTCAAAGTAGTTTCCATGCGTTTGAATGATTATTCCTATAGGATTGAAATAAGTATATTATATTACTTCGGAATCATAGGGTGACATAGAAAAATGGAGAAGCTTCCAATAAATGGAACACTAATAGATCGATAATTTTAATTACGAACCATTCAGGGATTGAATATAAGAGCAACTGTCAAGGAGGGCTGATACGGAGACGGCATTTTTTTCCTATAAGCGACCTATGGCATGCAAGGAACAGTTGAACATTGTGAAAACCGAATGTAAAGACTGGAAAACAGCAAGCAACTGATCTGAAAGGAAATAGTTTGTGATAGTCCCCGTGCGTAATATTACATCTACATTATATGAACATAAATCAAAAGTGGTGAAGCAATCT